TACCGATTCCGATACCGAAGTTCATATTAAATATAGTTTTTGCATAATCAGCTGCTCATGCTGGATGCAGTTATGAAAAACAATTATTTAGTAGCTCTGGCTTATCTATAACGGAAAACAAAAGGTTTTGGTTCTTCAAATGTTTATTTTTTTTATGCTATCACACCAAAAAGTGTTAATTCGCTTTACATAACAATAGAAACAAATCAATTCACAATACAAAGAGCATCTCTTAAAAAATACTGAATAGATCCATGCCTGTATAGGTATTTGTGAAGTCAAATATTTATACCAAATATTAAATTATATGCATTTACATAGTCAGCCTGAGTTACAAAAATGTAATCGAAAAATAAAGTGCACCCTCAAACCACAGCTAAGGTGAAAGAAAAAATGCTTCTTAAAACATGTTCAGACACACATATGCATGGCAGCCTTAGTGAAAAAAAAATTTATAAAGTAAATAAAAATGCATCCTCAAATATGTGGCGAAGGCATCATTGAGGGCAGGCAGGGAGAAGTCCGAGAAGAAGCGACGGCTAGGGATGGTGTAACGCGGCTCCAAAAGTGCTATTAAGTTACGAAAACCCGGGTTCTCGACGACAGAAAAAGGCTGTTTATCGAGCGCTATAAATTCCATCACTTTGTCGTTAATAGCTTTAGCTTTTTCGCTGTCTCTTGGAAAGTTTTCACAGTTTTCAAATGCCTTCTGAATGGATACATCTGCGCACCTTGTTGTTGTTGTCGTTTTAGCCTTAGCACCTCCGGCTGCTGCCGCGGCTGCTTCGTGTTCTTTCCATGTCGATTCGCCAGGATGACGATTTTTTTAGGTGTGTTATAAAGTTTGTTGCAAACTGCAATGCTATTGTCTTCTTGCAATACAGAAAAAAACAACTGACCAAACTGGTGAAGACGTGTTTGATAATTTACAGTCAGGCAGTAACGTAGCCAACCCTGGGTCTTGATAGTAAGGAGCGCAAAATCCACAGGTCTTGTCCCGCTTTGGGGCTACTCTGCCTGAATAAAATTCCACCAAATATTTTATCAGCCTGATAGGTATCGTGCATCCCTAATATGAATGGATAATATAATAGAAGATTACTATCAGTATGATGATTTATATTTAATTTAAAACCAGTAACTGTTGAGTTGACCTTTTCTCTGCATTGAACTATCGACTAATAAATACTCCCTGATTATTATTATTATTTATCTACTTTAACTTTGGAATAATATTTCATTAGATGTGAGAAATTGCTGGCAAGACTTGCCAATATTGATTTAGATTGAATACGACTGTTATTATATCTTACTATAGTTTTCTTTGCTTCAATAAATACATTTAATTCCTAGTTGCTAGGAGGCAACATGTTGAGGCAGTCAAATAGTAGCCTCATGAGACCATCCTGATCTCGCAAGCTTTCAAGATTTCACTCGCTAATCAGTCTGGAGACTCTCCGTTAAAGAAAATTTGGAGCCGTTCACCAAACGAACGTCCAATCAGCGTTGGCTTTGAGGCGGGTTGAGGTGTGACGCAACGAGAAGCGCGACAGTTCAGTCTAAAGAACATGGCGGCTTCAGCCGATGAAACTAGCGTTAGCGTGGCTATCGAGCAAGTTTTATCGGAATTACAGAGTATTTCTTCACTGAAAGAAGAGCAAAACACTGCTCTGGAGGCTTTTCTCAGAGGAAAAGGTGTTTTTGATCTTCTCCCGACTGGTTTCGGCAAGAGTAGCCTGGCTTGTGGTTGTGCTTTCGTCGTCGCTCTGTTAGTACGTCATATGCTTCGTTGATCTGATTGGTTTATTTGGCCCGTCTATCACCAACATAGGCCAATCAGCTAACCAGTATTTTCGCCCCTTCCCAAAATTACTTCAACGGAAGGTTTCCAGATGGATATGCGGAGCAAATACATCTGGCGGAGTCAGGTTAGTCAAATAGAGGCCTGTGGCTGTTTATTTGCTGTAATTACTCTCTAGGAAGCTTTTGTAACAATCGGAAAAGTCAGAGCATTAATTTCTCCCTTTACCTTTTTAGTTTTATAACTACATTTTTGATTAATACTGGTAGGAGAATATTTGGAGGCTCTTATTCTGTTTTGAATGGTGTCGTTTTCATTGGTTTAGAAATTGATAGTGAAATGAAAGTGTCCTTGGTGGAAATTGTAATCTAGGAAGTGATAATTGGGAAAATTTGAGTGCACACTAAAAGACCTGGCTATCCTTTGAATATTTCATACAGCTGGTCTTTTGGTCCATCTTTCTTCTTGTTCTGTGCCTCACGCTGCACGGAAACGGCAGGAGTCTTGATTATCTTCTTTGTTGGCAAGAGCAGCAGTGACGGGTCACAAGTCCTAGTCAGCGGGTTGTACAATTTCAATGCCGGCCATAGAAATCTGTACACAAACACTTATTTATCGGGTTTGACACTCTATTACATCATAGATATGTTTTATTTTTATTTTATTGAAGTTTCTGATCATAAAACTGTGTGAAAGCTGAGTGTAAAGGGAGAATAAATGCTAAAAAAAATCTGAATAATAAGGATCCTTCTAAACTAAAAAGTAATTTATTGAGACATCTTAAAATCTGATGACATCAGAGAAGCTTTGCTGCCCCGGGACCCCGATGACATTAAGCATTACACTAAAGGAGGAAAAATACAGATGATAAAAGATTTTCCATAACATGAAGGGCAAAATATGTCAAAAAATTTATATTTTGGCAAATTTTTTAAGAGCTGTATTAAATACAACTTAAAAATAAACATTGATTATCTAACCCATTATTAAATTTATTTGCAGAAATTGAGTTGCAACAAGACAGGAACTAATTGGGTAACCAAATAAAAAAAAGAAACGTATGGGTTTCAACATTTTTTAATGTAAAACTATTGTTAAAAGACTGGGTATGCTGCTCTTGTCTGTCTATTAGTTACTCGGTTTTAATTAAGTAGATCTTTACCGTCATGTAGCTCTCTGTTTTTAGATATTTATGCAGTTTTTTAGTAAAACAAGAGTAAATGTTTTATTTGCGCAGAAGAAGAATTCATGCAAGTAGTTCACTGCTGTTATGCAAAATACAATAAGATTTTCCACATTACTATTTTATTTACAATAGAGGCTAAAAATCTGCTTACTTCCTTAATGGGGTGAAATACAGATTAAACTGTGCACAGTTTAACTTGTGATGGCAGCAGGTTATTGGTAAATCTATTACACTAATCTGCTGCAGGGAGAGACAGTCGTTTGCTGTTATAATCTTGCAGAGAGTGATGTTGCCTTAAGGATATATTTATGTGGGATATATTCAGCAGCTCTCATGTTCATTTCATTTTCAGTGCAGAGAACAGCACTTTCCCTCTGTCTTCATTATAGAAAAATCTGGTTAATTAACATAGCTGTAACATGCAGACTTTTTAAAGGCCTTTTTCTGCTGCTTAGTGATGGCTTTAATGTAACAATGATTAGGCTCAATCAGCTACATTATACTGCTTGACTTAAACGCATTAAAATCATATTTTCTGATGATTTACACCTTTTAAAGTTTTGTATTTGTGCAGCCTGATGTCCTCCTGGCTGTTTCTGTGTTTGTATGCTAACTCTAGTATGAGAGGAGTTTCCATTTTTAACAGTTTTCCTCCCTGACCTTTGCTTTATCATATACCATAGATCAGGAGTCTTCAACGTTTTTCAGGCCAAAAACCACGAAACTGATGGAGAGATTGTGTTCTATCAAACTGGTTCTATAGTCACTCTATTACAGATGGTGTAATGTAAAGTTAGCAATTTCTCCCTGGGATTATTAAAGAATTTCTGATTCCTGGTTGATGGGACAGGTGTTGTGAATGAAACGGTGCCCAGCTTGAAAGAGCTGCTGTGTGTCGCTGAATGTGTGCATCGATGACTGAAAGACATCTTCTGCCTCCATTTATCTGTTTACTACAGTGTGTTGAATTCATGTTAATGTGGAAAAAGTTGTGACCCCCATTAGGGTTGTCAAAAGTATCGATACTCAAAAAAGTATCGATACTGAAACGTTGTATCTGGATACAATACTCATTTTCAAAAGTATCGAGTACCAGTCGCACCTAAACAGTCATTCATCTAAAGTGCAGAATAGAGGAAAATGCACTTTCTGAACACTGTGTGATCGAATAATTCTGTGCACTTTTCAGTTTCAGACTTTTTTTGTAACAGGTGCAGCTGCTGAGAATTATTTTTGTTTCTTAACCGGTTTGGCTAGTGTCATTGTTATGTGTGCAAAGCATAGCCAAGGAAGGAAAACTTAATTTTAATTTTGTAAGATTTTTATCAAGCTTGCTAAATACTGTGCACAGAAAACAACCTCAAAATGTTGTTCTTATTGTTTATTGTATTTATTTATTTATTGTATTTTAATTATTAATCAAAATATTTCTGTTGAAATTTTATCCTTGTGTTATCGAAAATGGTATCGAGTATCGAATATTTTCCTTAGTATCGGTATCGAGTTGAAAAGTTTAGTATCGTGACAACCCTAACCCCCATGCAGTACCTCAGTGGACCCCCTTGGGGTCGCGGACTCCCTGTTGAAGACCCCTGGCTTAGAGTGTCAGGTTTGGGCCTGGATGTTTCACATATTTCTACTACTCTCTATTTTATTCAACCTGAATTTAAAAATTCAGTTATTGGGCTGCACCTCTGGGCCGGATCGTTTGTTTCCTCTGATTTCTTTTAGTTTGCTGATCTCTGTATTTGAGTCTGCAGCTTGAGGACAGTGAGCCATTCATTGGGCAGTAGTGGAGGGGTGGAGCGTGGCAGGTGCAGGGACTAAGTCGTCTGTCCTAGAAGCGGAGGGGGGCTATGAGAGCGGATGATTCTTTTATATCAAGTTTAGTCGGTCAAGCACACTTAAACTTGCTTTTCTAACTTCCATAAATGGTTGAATCCATTTATTGTTTTCAGCTGTAATAGCTCCCATGATGAAGTTTCTCAGGTGTGTTTTCTATTCCTCCTACAGGTTGCAGGCTAAAAGATCCGGCCGATAATGTGCGGCAGCTCCTTCACATCCTCACCCTCTCCCTGCTTGTAGAGGAAGCGGCTGTGCCAGCATGTCCTCCCATCCCCAGTCCGTGCCACCAGGCCGGAGAACTCTGGACGCAAGGCACCTGCACAACCCTGCCACTCTACCCCTGCAGCTGCAGCGGCCACACGCGGTAAGCACTTTTTAGAGCAACCTCCGGCATTTACAGGTCGGAAACAGGGTGATTAGAGAGTAAACTGGAGGCAAAACAAAAACTGGTCTAACAGAAGCATTGCCAAGGTGCGAAGGCGGCACACCGGAACAGCCTCCCTCATTACATGTTTGGAGTTTAAAGGTCATGTTGTTATGGTGTCACATAAAGGCGTTCCTCAATATTTCCACAAACATCTCCTAATTATCTGGATTATGTGTAGATCAGGGATAAAGCAGCCTGTGCTTCAAAAGATGAGGCCTCTGGTTGAGCTGAAAACCTTTGATGACCTCCAGCGTTTCCTTGCAGCGACTTGCTTTCTTGTTGCATGACTGAAGAATTCAAGGCTTATCCCCCAGGGTCCCCCCAGCTGCACCTGTTGCTAATCCCACCACTCCCATTTGTCATCATATCCAGGTCCAGAAGCAGGTTGATGGGCTGCTCACTGTGCTTCCCAAAGGGCAGGTTTACAGTAGCTGCACACATTGCCCCATTTATCTAATGGAAAGAGAGAAAAAATAGCTGAACTTTTAACAGGAAATAAGTGAAATGTGTGAATTTGAAATTTGTTTTTCCCCCCCACATCAAAAACCAGGTATTTATTCATTCATTACAGGAAGTGGGACTGGTCGACTTCCACTCGCATCATGCCAGGGACTACAGCTCCCACCTGGCCCAGCCACATCGCCGTCGGCCTTCCTTACTTTCAGAGTTCCAGCCTGGGAATGAAAGGTAACGGCACTTTGCTTCATTGAAACCTATTTCTTCTTCCAGATTTAAATGTATGATGTACAGTGAACCCTCGCTACAACGCGGTTCACTTTTCACGGCCTGGCTGCTTCACGGATTTGCGTCATGCATGGTGTTCTGCATTCTGATTGGCTAAACGGTCTCTTTACGCCTTCTCCCAAATGTGTGTCAATAAGGGCATGTCGGTTTATAAGGATCTTTTGGCCCAGAAGACAAAAGAGCGACAACTACCGATAACTATGTTCTTCTCTCCAATAAACACACCTGCACTGCAGGCTTTAGAAGAAAAAAAAAACACCACAGAGCAGAGTCAGGATGCAGCGGCTCCGTCAGAACAGCAGTGAAATACTGTACTGTATACGTCAGTCACTATTTTTCCTACTGTACTTTGTATTTTCTTTCATAATAATTTTTCATTTTCTTCCGTTCTGATCAGTCACGTTGGGGCGGTGCTGATCCCCGCAATATTAACCCTTCAGTTCGAATGGATGATTAAAATTATTATTTATTTATAACTATATTATTTTACAGTACAGTACAGTAGTTATTTGTAAAAAAAACAAACTAAAAAAACAACAAACGTTTATACCGTACTTTTATTTGTTAAACAAATGCTTGGGCCTGTAAAAAGTATTTGTTCCTTGATTTCAATCTTTTATGGAGTATTTCATTGTATAATAACTGTAAAAAAATAAAGGTTTCTACTTCACGGATTTGTAGTAGTGTATAGGATTTCAGGAAATCCTATACACTACTGTTTATGCTCTAAAAACATTCTAAATGACTTCGTTTCGAGTAAATTCTGGACGCTACCCACTCAGGACACTTGGAATACATTGGACGAGCAGTATGGAGGAATATTGACACGTTTTTTGTGGACTTTTATGGACCTTTCTGCCTCGGGCGCCATAGACCTCCATTATTTGAATGTCAGCAGACAGCAAGAAGCCTCCCAGATCTCCAGATGCATTTGAGATATCAAAAAATTACTCCAGAGTGTTGTTCAGCATGGGGGTGAGTAGAAAATGAAGGCTAATCATGTTTTGGGTGTACTATTCCTTTAAAAAGTCCACCAAATTAGTTACAGTGGTTACTCATAAGGCAGCGCTGCACTGTGTTTATTCCTGGACGACAAAGTTAGTCGCTTATAGTTTTTCCTTTTCGTCTGTAATTGTTCTGGGTGTTTATCATTCAAGAATGATGTAGCCAATCAGAAATCAATCCTTGGTGCTGAGATTTGCCTGGATTGCCTTGTGTAGTAAATTAGCCCCTGTTCAGTTGTAGCTGTAGAGGGTCAGAGCGTGCTCAGTGAGAGCCTCCTCCCGTCTGCATTTTCATGCAGTATTGTTTACCAAAGCCCCCCCCCCAGAGTAATCCTTATGTAATTGGTAGCTGAGGCTGCTCCTCTTCTGTAATGCTATGTTAAACGGCTCTGCAGGGCAATGGGGCCTGAAGAGACTTTCCATCTTCCACAAACCTACTGTAAAACCTTCAAAGCATTGGATGAATAGTTTTTTGTTTTTTTTTGTGCATAATTGGGGGGGGTGCTTGTACCTGGCAATGTTCTGTGCTTTTAGAAAAAAACAGATTTTTGAGAGCGAGGCTTGATGCAACCATGAATGATTAATGTGCAGGACTTGATTTGGTATGACTCAAAGAATACATCAAAGGAATGTTTCTTTGCCTTAACGTTTTTCCACTTAATAGTTTTTGAGGCGGCTCTTTTCCCATGCACAGCGGTGGATGCGTTTCAGCGCTGGCGGCTGTGGATTCACGGGGGTCGCAGGGCCGTTGCGTGTTGTTTCGGAGTCTTTAAGCATCAGTCAGACAGGATTATTGTCTGAATTACACAGAGCTGTACCCTGGCTTTTTTTTTTTATGGCTATTAGACTAGCTCACAGCACGTTAAGAGTGGGTCATTGCCCCAAAGAGAAATAAACACACCGTGCTTTTAATGGCACCCACTAGCTTCTGATTTACTGATGCCCTTCATTTGGTCACTTGTGCTTCAGCTGCCTCATAGAAGTGACTCAGTCCATGTTTCAGCAGGACGGACACCTCCTCTAACTTTGTCAGTAAAGCAGGGAAGTAGCATCCCCCCTCCTTTTTTCCCCTCTTCTTTTGGAAATGAAAGAAAACCTTCATGGCTGAAAACAGACTGCATACCTTTAGCCCACGTTTCTTTGTAGAAACTGTGAAAAAGAACCTCGATTGTGGCTGGCAAGGCATCAGGGGGTGGGCAGTCTTTCAGAAAAATGTCTAAGTGCTTTCACAATTCCTTCAGAGGGCTCACTATCCACACTGAAGGCCACATTCTGCGTTTTTATTCAGAGTCTGAATTCTGATGTTATTCTGTCAACCATTCAGTCGATTCTCTCTAGTTTTTGCACATATCTCACTAACTCTTTATTTTAGATGCTCTGAAGGTTGTTCACATAAAGGTTAGCATTTGTTTTCAGATGTTCCCTATTTTCTCTGAGGCTCGTTTCCTTCAACTTCTCCTAATGTTCTAAATTCAAAGCAGAGATAATTTTACTGATGTTTAATATAAAGGCTAATTATAGGTCAGACACCCACAACTGTAGTGCTTCTTGATGTGTTTGCTTTTCCTCACTCCAGGCAATGTTTATGACTCATCTTTACATCCAACAAAACTCACCCCTGACTCCTGAAAGAGAGGGTGGGGGGGAGCATTTCATTGTACTGCAGGATTGTGAAGGTTGAGGAGCTTTTTTTTTTAAACAGATTTTTCTATTTATATACAGGATAAAGGCTAACAAATCTTGTCCAGCTTTAATATCTAGGCATGTATAAAGAAATTTACTTCAAACTGTCACTTTTTAATTATGTCTCCAACATTTAGCCTCATCTATGTACACATTTTTCAGGGTTTTTTGTTTCACTGAACCTTTTCGTTAATTCCTTTTTTTTTTACAGTTTCCTGTCTGGCAATGTGGCAATAAAGATAATTGTCTTGATGCCAAAAAGAGCCCAACAGATTTTACAAAGAAAAATAGTTACAAAACAGACTTAGCAATGGTTATGTTGTGGCTTTGAAACTGATTTGTTTTGTTCCCTGCTTAAACAAAGTTTGTGAATTCAGTTAAATAATTGTTCAAATATATCTGTCATTTGTGTGTTTTTAGCTTTCTTCCTGTATGGGAAGCTTTTCAAAATTGGAAACATTAGTGCAGTGGTTTATGTTAAAATAAACCTTTGGGTTAAGTTGTCGCAAGCAGGTTTTTCTTGTGTTTCTTGCTAATTTGGTCTTAAATTTCTATTTCAAGTGGCATTAAAAAGTCTTAAAAAGTTTTGAATTTAACGTGCCTTTAACGAACCATAACAAAAACAAAACCCTTTTTACATCCGGCAGAAACATGGTTTGTTCTTGTGTAATGAAAGCATAGCAGCAGTTTGCAGCATTGTGGTTCATTAAGTAAGTGAGCTTTATTTATATAGAACCTTTCTCAGACAAGTGTTGCAAAGTGCCGTACAATATGAGGCATAGAATACAAAGCAGCACCGTATAAAATGTAGATAATATAAATCCAATCATAGGGACTAGGGAGTAGTCACGTTTTCAGACTGTCATGGCGCCTATGTGTGGCTTCTCTGTTTTTTTTTGATAATTTTTGCTATCATAGCAGCCCTGATCCTTTTACTTTATACTAATCGGTTCTGTGTCATCAGGTGTTAATAAATTAATTCCTCATTTAGTAGTTATTTTACAGCCTCTTATGGCCATTGTTCTCTCCCACCTGCTTGTAAAACACGATTGTTGATGTGTAAACTGTTTTGCATAGTCAACAATCTTTCTTTTCGTATTTCATAGATTATATGGCAAATTTTCCTGACTGTTCAGAAAGATTTTGATCCCTAACTATAACTGTGTTACCATGGCAACGCTAAATCTCCACAGTTTGTTTCCAGTTCTTATTGGGGGGTTCAGTTAAAGTCATAAATGACCATGTTTTTTGTTTTTTTGTTTTTTTTAATTCATTTTAATTCAGAGGACAAGAGCAGCACATTCGTTACGAGCACATCTACTTGCCGGAGGCCGCCAGCCAATCAGAGATGGACTACGCTGAGATCAAACGTCCTCGTTTGGACATGGGGTCAGACTCTCTGATGAGACCTTTGTCCCACCGGCAGCCACTACCTCTCGGAGGGGCTGAGGACATAACAAAGGTTAGTAACCTGTAGTATATAGTGTGTGTTCTCACCTTAAGGCCTGAAAAGAGCAGCTTTGTTCTAGTTTGAAAGATTTTTAAAGGATTCTTGGAAGCAATGATAAATATTTTAGATTATACTTTTCCTTTCTCCCCCTGAAATATGATAACCTATCAGTTAAAGTTATTCGGTTAATCTAGACAGGCTCTTAAAGCGAGCCAAAGGATTTCATTAGTCGGGGCAAAGGAGGATTCTGCTCTAAATCCGCGATGGCTCTCTGGAGCCGCTGTGGGGAAACCAAGAGAGTTGTGAAATGGCAATCAATAAATAATATAGCTGACCTAGATTTCCAAAGGCTAAGGATGAAACTGAGGCGAGAAGATCAAAACAACTGACTTGCTGTGCAGAGCTGCTCATTGGGAGGTGTGCCTGACACTGTGCCTTATACTGCCAGTGAATGGTGAACAGATACACCAATAACCCATGTGGGGTGGGGGTGGGGGGCTACGCTGTAAACCTCTTACATAAGTCAGGTCAGATGTAATCACTGCATGGAACAATAACACCCTACAACAATAGCCTGATAGGAAGCAACATAAAAAAAAGCTGGAAGCAACAGATCAGTTTCTGTGCTTTAGAGCCTCCAGTTATCTACGCTTCAGTTTAAACCTACTCTATTATTTATTAGATGATCTGTTGAGGAATTTCAGGGCTAACTTCTTTGGTTTTACATCCAGTAGTTTGTTTTGTTTGCATTCCTGGACTTGAAATCAGAACATGACTTAACCCTTTAAAGCCGGATCCAAGAATAAAACAAAACAAAAAATAACTTTTTTTTGGGTTTGAAGTCCTTATTTGGCTTTTTAACAAATATGTAAAAAGAAAAAACAGAAATACATTTTTGATATTAATAATTTATTACTATGCGATAAGTCAAGATTATTTTTTGTGTAGTCTTCTACTGGCTGTTATCAGGTATATCTGATTGTGTACAATAGGATTTTGAGCAAAGTTTTTACCATTAAATTATGCAAAAGGTGTCAGACGCTTGCCTCGTGAGACCATCCTGATCTCGCGAGCTTTCAAGGTTTCACTTGCAGATCAGTCTGGCTACTTTCCGTTAAAGAAAATTTGGAGCCGTTCACCAAACGAACGTCCAATCAGCGTTGGCTTTGAGGCGGGTTGAGGTGTGACGCAACGAGAAGCGCGACAGTTCAGTCTAAAGAACATGGCGGCTTCAGCCGATGAAACTAGCGTTAGCGTGGCTATCGAGCAAGTTTCGAGTATCGAGTATTTCTTCACTGAAAGAAGAGCAAAACACTGCTCTGGAGGCTTTTCTCAGAGGAAAAGATGATTTTGCTCTTCTCCCGACTGGTTTTGGCAAGAGTTTGATCAATCAATTGGCTCCTCTTCGTCGTCGCTCTGTTACGTCATATGCTTCGTTGATCTGATTGGTTTATTTGGCCCGTCTATCACCAACATAGGCCAATCAGCTAACCAGTATTTTCGCCCCTTCCCAAAATGACTTCAACGGAAGGTTTCCAAAAGGATATGCGGAGCAGATCCAGCAAATCCATCTGGCATATGATACATTTGGCATTACAGGGTTAACTTTATTTGGATTTATTTTGCTCACCCTGGCTGGGTAATCATCATAGTGTGTTTATTTTTAAATATCTTAACCTTCTTGATTACCATTGTGCCTGTTTCATTCACCCTTTTCAGTATTAGACCAGCTAGATGACGTACAGAAACATTCTTTATGATCTGTTCTTTTTTCCTTGTCAGAAGATAGTAAAGTTTTTCCAAGTGAAAATAAAAATAAAAGTGAAACATCAAGGATTTCTAATCTGTCCTTTGGTATTTTCTGGCTTGCTGAGCTTCAGCTTGGGTTAGGAGAACGATGCTTTGATTCACACTCATGGTTGTCAGATTAAACAAAATCAAAAACAACCCTCAAGCGTTTTTTTTTCTTTCTATTTTGGCATTTTTCTGTGTTTATTCGTGTCTGACTCACTGGCAACTATGGGCTTCTTAATCTAGGACAGCCGCTCAGCATCCTCTGGCATTTTCAATCACAGCAGGTCTACAAGGCTGTAATGCTGCATGCCTAGTCCAGATTAGCCCACTTACATAACCTTCATTTCAGATGTTTAAAAATAACACAGAACAAAAACCAAGCTGGATGGCTCTTTCTCTCTCTCCCTTACAAACACACATGCACTGGTGATGTCCTGATATATTTATAACATCAGAACCAACACAGTCATTCATCAGGAACTAAAGAATTCATCCCCCACTGCTAAGTCTGCCTCTACGTTGTTTTCTATTTTGTCTATTCAGTAATCAAGGTTTCTCTCAACTTTCAACAGTTTGAAGATGTTTTCTGGAGGAATAAACCAGTAAGATGTTTTTAATTGTATGATAACCCTGAGCTGAAATATAAGTTTAATTGCATAAGGTATAAAAACAGCTGACTGGCAGTGCACAGCAATAAGTGGGGGAGGGGGAGCTGTAGAGTTTGAATGATTCTGACTCTTCGTTTTGATTCCGGTTTCTATTTATTCTCGTTTATTCTTTTGAGAGGAAGGCTCATGTTTTATATGAGCTAGTAAAGCAGAGGTCAATGTGGATGAAACTGTGTTTTTTAGATCAGTTTGATTTCTAGGAACATTTAGCTTTTTATTATTACATAACCAGTGCAGGGTTATTTTGCGCTCTTTACACCACATGATTGGCTGGATGTTGCCACGGTGATGTAAAACATTGTGGCCACAATAACATAATGCAGCATTGTGTCTAATAATCAATGAAGTTTAACCTGATGGATAAAAAAACTTTTTTTTGGGGGGAGAAAGTAACTGTAAGACCATTTTCATAAAGGTTAGACCTGGGGAGCACTCTGTCTTCCTTACTTCCTGTTAAAAGGAAGTTGTTCCTCTCCACTGTCGCTACAAGCGTGCTTAGTTTGAGGGATTGCCTTCGAGTCAATGAGTCGATGCAATCAACTGGTTTTCCTTAGATAGAAAACTTTGAATTAATTTGACTGGATGTTCTGGTGAACTGGAAAGTGCCTTAAGATGACATGTGTTGTAAATCGGTGCTATATAAATAAATTGAACTGAACCTAATTGGCTAGCTTAGCTCAGTAGCTAACAGGTTAGCCTCTTTTAGCTCGGCCAGTTACCTAAATTAAGCTATACCACATTTAACTTCTTTTCAACACTGATCCACAAACGCTGGTTACACTGAACATTTTTAAACTTGCACTGAAATGAGGTCCATACATCAGATTTTAAGAAGTGTAACGGCTGCAGAAATCGGGTTTTCTTGTTGAAACTATCATTAAGACACATTTACACATCCGGTATCTGATGCTCCAGCTACTTGTATATTGTAAAGCAGTTTTATAATTTTATTTACCTGATTCTGAGGGTGTTTTTGGAGTTGGTGTCAGAGCTGGAGGAAACGGCTGTGTTGTGCCCAGGAACGTATCCAGACCAAATTTATTTCCCCAGCATTCTTCACTGCCCCTCATTTCCACTCACCCAGAGGTGGAAGTAATGATTTATTTAAGTGCACAGAAGAACGATGACATTAGGCGTAATGTTAGGCTTAAAATTATTCAACAACCATGTTATAAAAATGATGCAGGTTTTTGTTAAAACATGCAAAGGAAGGAAATTCTCTCTGTGAAAAAGGTGAATGCAGGGGGAAAGAATTCCCTCTGGGAATCTACCCGAGCAGAAAGCCGGTGAAGAGGGTCAAAGACGAGGCTCTTATTTTGACTCTGGAGTTTTTAATCATGTTGGCCTTAAATGTCCTTCGCATGATGAAATCCTGTCGCAACTGTTGCAACTAGCCGTCTAGTCATGTCTTTAACATTAAGACGTGATGTGGAATGCTGCCGCACAAACTTCTACAGATTGCTTTTTGTTCAGCAGCTTCTCCTTCTGGTTGGGGAAATTAGCAATGCAGCTAAGAATTGAAAATTAACCAGTTAAAACTGGTTCTGGTTGGCGCTGACACTCTGTTCCTATATATTCATGGATATCTGATTAAAAGAACATTTAAACCACAGGAACAAGGTGACCAATTCTATTCAATTCAGTTTATAAATACTAAATTCACAACACAAGTCATCTTGAGGCACTTTACAGTTCAATAGATCATAGCCAAATTGATACAAAGTTTTCTATCTAAGGAAAACCAGTTGATTGCACCGACTCATTGACTCAAATACAATCCCTCACACTAAGCATGCTTGTAGCGACAGTGGAGAGGAAAAACTCCCTTTTAACAGGAATAGACCTCCAGCAGAACCAGGCTCAGTGTGAGCGGCCATCTGCTGAGGCAGAATGGGGAACAAGGAGACAGAAGCAGAGGTACAAAAAGTAACTGTAAAAGGAACCACACAGCCAGGCAGACGAGCTCTGAGCCAGCTCCCATGTCAGAGGATGAAGAGAGCACATCCAGCCAGTCACAGTCAGAGAAACAGGACTACACCGAAAAACAGGCTGATCTCCAACATCTATAATCAAAGGTGTTGATGGCAGCAGCACAGCTGATATTTCTCTCCAGGATGGAATCACAGCCAAACAGGAACAGACCAGATGAAGCTAAGAAGCAGAGAGAGCATAATGTTAGAGATTGAACTAACAGATTCTGCAGAGTGGGAGAATAGAGAGAGAATGAAGCAAAAATGATGAAATAGGGGTCCCTATGTCCTCCAGCAGTCTAAGCCTATAGCAGCATAACTGTAGAGATAGCTCAGGATAACCTGAGTCACTCTAACTAGAAGCTTTATCAAATAAAAAAAGTTTTAAGCCTTGTCTTAAAAGTAGACAGGGTGTCTGCCTCACGGACTAAAACTGGTAATTGGTTCCATGGGAAAGGAGCCTGATAAGGAGGATTTTAAATTCTATTCTTGATTTAACTGGAAGCCAATGAACTGAAGGTAGGATAGGAGAGATATTTAAATTCAAAACTAACTTTCTAAGCAGCTGCTCCTTGCTTTAGCAATGGAACATTTTAAATGTCTCATAATGCTGCAACCTCTGCAGCATAATTTAATGATAAAATTAAATAGAAAATCTTCCTGTAGTCATAAATACTGCAATATAAACACTATTTAAACTGGAACAAAGTCCTCCTCGCTAATTATAGATTCTCGAAAAAAAGTTTTTTTGTTTGGAACATTTTTTCTGTTTGTTAAAAAATAAATAAATGCATTTCTACATCTGTAATGAAGACGTATATATTGACCCTCCACAGGAGCGTGGAAGTGCCATTGGGAAGCTGGAGCCCATCTCCCCTGTGAGCCCGGTCCACATGGACCCAGACTTGGATCTGGTTCCAGCTCGATTTTCCAAGGAGGAGCTGATCCAGAACATGGAGCGCGTGGACAGGGAGATCACCATGGTGGAGCAGCAGATCTGCAAGCTGCGCAAGAAGCAGGTTTGTTCTCTTGGAGGCCGTCTGGTGCTACTGCCTGATGGTTGTGTCTGGAGCAAAGAAGTAGTTTAAGATCTTTTGCAGCAACATGACAGCAGAAAAAAGTCCAAATGCTAAACATTGCTTTGATATGTAGAATTTGTGATGCCATTTACAGTGTGAGCTGGGTTTATGTGAGGAACATAAGTATTTTTACTGAACACTGTTTTTCTGCTGAACAGTTTTTTATACTAATTTGACTGTTTGCCTTCAGATTAAAGAATATCCCACTACATTAATCACACACCTTGAACCTAGTTTTACATTTTAGGACATTAAAACCTCAATCATCATTTCATATGGTCATATTTTTATGTGTCAGACCAACACAAAGTCAAGTTTGGGTATGAAGTAGAAGGAAAATGCTTCATAGTTTTTAACCTTTTCTCAAATAAAATGCATCGCAGTCAATTTCCTTTAGATGTAATTTAGTGAGAGGAGAGTTCACCTGTATGTAATTAACTCCTGCTGTTCTGTGACGACCTCAGCTTTTTGTTAAACAGTAGCGTTCAAACAGCTTCATAAAGACTAAAGAGCACAGCAGGCGGGTCGGAGAGAACGTTGTGGAGATCTTTAAAACAAGATTGGATCATAAAGCTGAACCCTAAGCTTTAAAGTTTAGGAGAATCAGGAAACAGGAGAAGCCCGGCACAACTGCGAACCCTGCCAGACACAACAGTTCACCTAAACTCACCGGTTGGACTGGCTTGATGCTTCCAACTGCATTCAGAAATTCACACAGATCCTCATTTTTTCCATATATAGCTTTTCTCTTGCTCCCTGTTGTCATACCATTATTTTCTTTACTCCACAGTAGGTGATGTAATGCCATCTCTAAGTCCAAAAAAATAGACTCAGAGAGACTTAGACTTAGACAGATGTATTTAGTCATTTTGTATACACAAGTATAAACAAAAATAAAATTCTTTTAGAACAGCTCTCTAGACAATTTCCTATTTGAAAGTGCAGCCTGGGTAAGGTAAGCAGCAGTTGTTGCTGAGCTGCTACTACTGCCTCCAGCTCCTGAAGCACTCGCTTCTCCTGGCTCAGGGTGCGGAAGAGAAGGATGATGACGATGCTGTGAGGGTGGTAGCCCCCAGGGTCGAAGAAGCAGTGGTGTCATCGACAGGTTTAACAGTGACAGACGATGCTGGAGAAGGTGTGGAAGCCAGAGGGGGCTGGGTAGAGCCCGCTGGGGATATTTCAGCATTTGGCAGGAAGCATCTAGGGTGCTCTCCTCATTTTCACCTACAGAGGGCTGTGCTTTCCCTCTAGGTGCCGAAGATTGCCTGGGAACAGTCTCAGAGGAGCCTCCATTCATGCAGAGCTCTTTGGTTTTATTGGCACGGTATAGCGTTAGCCCCTCGAGGCTAATAGCATTGTCCGGTATTGCTGGACGCAGCCAAGACTCCATCTGAATGATGGTGCAGCAGTTATATATCTGCTTTTTTGAAGAGAGTCTGAGTTGGAGATGATCCTTTTTGTTTTCCGACGAGCGGGCGTTGGAGAGCAGCATTGATGGAAGCGGTGGTCTGTGGGGATCACTCTGTAGCTTCGCAGTTAGCCCCTCTTCTCTTTCTCCGTCTCGCGCATCTCTTCCTTCGTCCGTTATTTTTTGCTGTTGTTGACATCCTTCCTCAGCACTCCGCAGCTTTTTAAACGGGGAAAAATGTCAGTATTTAAAACATCTTGTGACCGTAGCTCCAGCAGGCGTTGGCGATCACAGACGCGGGTTTGATGTCTAGTTTGTATTGTTTTAAGCGGCATATTTTGTGAAATTGCCGAGAGGAGCTGCTCTTGGCCGCTGCCTTGGAGCGCCGCCATGGTAACAGAAATGAAAAATGCAGAATAACTTGCTCCCATCAGATGCAACTTCAACTTTTTTGCCCTGGCAGCATGGTAATTGGTAAATGACTCCAGAGCACTTTACACTACAATCATTCATTTAACCATCCAACATCATGCTGTGGTAATGCTTTCTCTTAAGGAGGGACATTAAAGCTTGTCAGAGTTGATAGGAAGGTATATGGAGGTAAATCAAGGAAAATCTAAGAAGGCGGCTAAAAAAGACAGAAAACTGAAGCAAAGATTTTCTTTCTAGCAGGAAAATGCAGCCAGAGCTTCACATTAAAGTAAGTGTGTGAATGTGTTAGAGTGGCTCATTTATAATCCCCACTTCCATCTGCTTGAGGATCGTTACAAAGCTTAAGAAAAATGGATGTGTATAGTTTTTTTGTGTTATGTTGCAGTTGGTACGTATAAATGCTTCATGCAGGATGCCATTCTCAAAATCTCACCTGCGTAACCTGAGATGGTCGAAACTGTCGTTGAATAAGTCATGTAATCGAGAGCGCCACTTTATAGCCTACTGAACTCCCCTAGAACCGTGAAAAGTTGTTGTTGGGTAGCAAATCCAATCTGACCTTTACCCAGACAGACTAGTTTTTGCTTCTCTGAGGTGGGATTTAATTTAGAGATGTGAATGTAGCCTTTAATTTACAAGCAACTCCATGAAAACTCCGTCTGCTGGTCCAAAGTGGTCTGCTATCAGATTCCCAAACAACAAGGGAGACGGTTTAATTTAGTGACAGCGCAGTGATGCCAGTGGCGTGAAACCTGTAAGTAACAGGTCTAGCGCCCCAGTTTTTTGTGTATTTTGATTCTGCTGAACCATTTCATTAATATTTTTTTATGACCTCTCTTTGTCTGCTTTATTTTCATTACAAAGAAGAATAATTGAAATATACATGAAGCTCTAAATAACAGCTCCCCTCAGGGCAGAAGACGTATCCTAAACGTTTTGTTGAAACCACATGTTCCCGCGAACCCAGCAACTCCATCCCCTGAGTTGCTACCAGAAGCTGTATGACGACACCTGCTCTCATCCAGGCTACGTACTGGATAATCAGACATGCAGCCGTTACATAATACCACTTTTACATTCCTTAAAAAAAAAAAACATCTATGCTACAGAAGCGGCTTTGCTGTAATTGAGGAATAACCAGAAGAACATAACAAATCTAAATGTGGGAAAAAATCAGCTGATTTATTTTCACCACATCAAAGTTGAACAGCATGTGTGCCGATTGTGCATTGACTGGTTTTGAAGTTGGCTAATAGTTTGCAGCTAATTTCTGTGCTTGGTGTGAAACACCTGAAATGTAAACCTTCATCAAAGCCAAGCAGAGGAGCGCAGGAGCCTTGCAGACCTGGGACCAGACTATCTTCATAGGGGCATAAATCACCAGGTGCTTTGTCACCGTGCAATGCTTTATCTATTTGTTTTCATGATGACCTAATGATTCCTGCTATTATAATGTCACTATATGATTTAAATCCAGTTCACAAATCTGAGATCGATATGATGCGACATCACCTGCCCGTCTATCGCAAGTATTTAATATAGACTCCAAAAACAACAATTTTATTTACACCCTCTTACAGACAACATAGAACATTAGTATTAGTCAATTTTAATACATTTTGAATTGCGAAATATGTATCAAGGTGTATCAAAAAATACAAGTGTTGCGCCGTGACAGCTTCCAGTCCGGCCTGTGGAACTTTGCTGCACGTTTCCCCTCTCTAATCCCATTTCCTGTATGCATACTTTGAAAAATAACACAGAAAAAGGCCACTACAGATTTAATAATCCAAAAAAATAACTAATCTAATTGCCCTTCGGCAAGAAGGTCTTGGGTTTGAATCCTGTCCTTCCTGTGGTCAATTCAGTTTATTTCTATAGCACCAATTCTCAACACATGTCATCTCAAGGCACTTTACATTTCACCAGATCATCCAGTCAAATTGATTAAAAGTTTTCTATCTAAGGAAAACCAGTTGATTGCATCGACTCATTGACTCTTCAGCAATCCCTCACACTAAGCATGCTTGTAGCGACAGTGGAGAGGAAAAACTCCCTTTTAACAGGAAGAAACCTCCAGCAGAACCAGGATCAGTGTGAGTGGCCATCTGCAGAGGCCGACTGGGGTTCAAGGAGACAGAAGCAGAGACACAAAAAGAAGCAGAGATATAAAAAGCAACTGTAGAAGGCGGCCCCGTCCAGGAAACACACAGCCAGGCAGACGAGCTCTGAGCTAACTCCCATGTCAGAGGATGAAGAGAGCACACCCAGCCAGTCACAGTCAGAGAAACAGGACTACACTGGAAAACAGGCCACGAGGCAAATCTACTATAAGAAAAAGCAGAGATTGAACCAACAGATTCTGCTAAAAGATTCTGCAGAGTGGGAGAATAGAGATAGAATGAAGCAGAATGATGAAAAAAGGTCCCTATGTCCTCCAGCAGTCTAAGCCTATAGCAGCATAACTATAGAGATAGCTCAGGATAACCTGAGTCTCTCTAGCTATAAGCTTTATCAAAAAGGAAAGTTTTAAACCTACCCTTAAAAGTAGACAGTGGGTGTTCAGTTTGCATGTTCACCAGGGGTGTGCAAAATAATAAAAATAATTGTGATGATGATGCATTGTGATTCTAATTTTCGTGATCTACTGATTATTAATAAAAAAAAATGAATAAATAAAATTGCATGAATGGTTGGCGAACATCAGCCAAAAACAAGTGCAATACAACTTCCAGTCCAGTAGATGTCGCTGCAAATGTGTTGACGCACGCTGCCTTGTGTCACAAGCATTTCCGGCCGTGGGATACTGTGCCGAGTCATTAAAAAACAAAACATGGAGGAGAAAATATTGCAATGCATCGCAATAATTCGAGTATCGTGATGCATCGTGATAGAATCGCATCGTGGCCTGTGAATCGTGATTCGAATCGAATCGTGACTTCTTTGGCAATACCCACCCCTAATGTTCACCCAGTTTTTGCGAGGGTTTTCCCCAGGCAGCTCAGGCTAACCCTGCATCTGATTTAGGAATTTCATGTATGTATCATGACAAATAACTTAGCTTATTACCGGCAAGCTGAAGAAGCTCTTCACACTCTTAAATTTGCAGGTTACACAACGTATACACACGGGTTACACAACAAGCCCATTTCTCCTCATGCACGCCCTGTTTAAAAAGGGCTGTTTTCATAGCTAATACAAGCTCTCTATGTCCACATACAACAGGGACTATATAGTGGACTTTATAGCAAACTCAGATAACTGACCGTTTGACAGATGATCACTGCTTTTTGCTCTGTTGCTCACGTAACTCCTCCTCCACTGCGCGGTTTCTGCGCAATCTTTGTTATTAGTCGCTGCTGTCCAGTAGCGACAGCCTATGGCGTAAGCGGGCTGCTGTGACAGCAAATCCCATAATGCTTTGCGAGGAGAGCTCTCCGTGCAAAGCAGTCTGGAATATATATCTGCCTTTCTTTCCTTCTCATACACTTCGTAGACACTTTTTCTCTTTCGACCCTCGGCCATTTTCAAAGTAGTGAGCTTCAATGACTGTCTGAAGCCGTAGCTCACCACTTATACGCCTGAAAGTGCGCATGCACAGAAAAAGGTAGCTAATGGGACGAGTACGTAGGACAGCCTTACGTAAACATATCACCAGAATGATTGACAACTAGGAGAACCAATTATTTATATGATCCACCTCAAAATAAAGGATCGTCCTCTATACCTTTAAGTGGCTGCGCTCATTTCTATCATCATTAAGAAATGCACTTTAGGACTGACTCAATAATTGGATTAATTGATTATTGAAATTATGGTGAACTAATTCAGTATCTGACTAATATTTAGCTGGAATATAGACTCTTAATATATGCCATTAGCTTAGAGAACAATCCATGCCGAACACTAATTATACCTAAATTCTAAATAATGTACAAACATTTTGTATTCAATCTGAAAAAACTTTTTTTTAGTGAACTGTCCAGATCACTTTAAAAGGCAGTTTTAGCTTCACTTGGTTTAATTAGAGTATGAATCAGTTCATCAAATAAAAGAACAGACTGGCTTAAAAGTTGATGCCAATATCTGGTTAATATTGTAAAAGTTTATTAAAAATATTTCTGGTTTGACTTAAAGATGAAACTGTGATTTTTAGTAAATAGAAGAATATTTAGCTTCTAAAAGCTGTTAAATCAAAAGCTGCTTTCAGAGAAATTGATGATCAGAGTGGAGGCTCTGTGAAAGTTTTTCCATCCAGCTCTTGCCGAGCATTTAAACATCTGGTCTGATTAAGTGGCATAGTACAACATTTTTTAAAGAGCTCTGGAAGCTACGGAAGCCGGCAGACCAAACCAGATGAAAGTGCGCATTCAGCGTCTGCTCTGCCGATAATGCAAGCGTAGAAGAAGAAATGTGCTGTTTACCTGTGCAAAGAAAGAAACAACGAAAGAAAAATGTCTGAGGACTTCAGTGTTGAGGAAGAGCATGAGTTCTTTGCCGAGCTGAATGCGCTGGTTTGGTCTGCCGGCTTCCGTAGGCTCGTGAACGCGCTGGCGCGCGCTTTCAGGAAATACTATACACTACTGTTTATGCTCTAAAAACATTCTAATTGACTTCGTTTCGAGTAAATTCTGGATGCTACCCACTCAGGATACTTGGAATACATTGGACGAGCAGTATGGAGGGATATTGACACGTTTTTTGTGGACTTTTATGGACCTTTCTGTCTCGGGCACAATAGACCTCCATTATTTGAATGTCAGCAGACAGCAAGAAGCCTCCCAGATCTCCAGATGCATTTGAGATATCAAAAAAGTACTCCAGAGTGTTGTTCAGCATGGGGGTGAGTAGAAAATGAAGGCTAATCATGTTTTGGGTGTACTATTCCTTTAAGCGGACGGCCATGAGGTAGAGGTTCGGTTACAGTCAAGAGTGTCCGCCAAACGCTGGACGGCTGGTTTATTTTATTTCACTCTGAGGTAGGGTTTGAAGGCGATTGCTGTTTTTTCATGTCTGCTTTTGCCTGAGCAGATGCTTATCCAGGGATCTCATGGCACAAGCCATCCATCCTACTCTGCTCGTATGTGGCTGGGTCCTCAGGAGGCCACTTTAGCCACCGCTACCCCGCCGCCTTCTGAAGCCTCTGTCACGAGATGAGCGGAGGGAGTTCAGAGCGGACGTAGATGTAGATCAGCTGTTTGTGCGGCTCTCTCTGACATCCAGCCTCAGCTTACAGCTCAATACGCTCTGCTGATATTTCCAAGCCACAAATGACATCAAATTTACCCAAACATTTCCTCTGAGGGTGAGAGCTGAAAATCATTTCAGAGTATGAAAAACTGAAAGTACTTATAACTGATCTTTATATAGACAAAATAAGCATGAATGTTTGCTAAGTAAGTCATGTGGAAGCCTGCCTCACTGGCAGCGTGGCTTTAAACAGATGCTTGTTTACTTTTCCATCATAACTTTTCTCTGTGATCACTAAGACTTTGACTGCTAACGAGCCTGATGGACAGTGAGATAACAAGCAGCTCTTTCAATTAGAGATAGATACATTGACCGGTTGATGTTGTTTCCTGATATTTGCCTTTTTTGTTATTGATCAATGCATGACTTAAGATCACGTAATTCACATCCATTGCTCCCTCCTCCATTTGCTATCTGTTTTTTTCTTTGAGTTGGTCTTTCTTTTGTCTGAGTTAAGACTTGTGTAACATTTGTTATTGTCATTAAATTGTCATTATTTGTCAAAAAAAATACATAAAAAAAAAAAGTTCAGTTAACTGATTTTTTTTTTTTTTTACTCAAATCCCACATTTTTTTGGTTGCTAAATGTTACAGATGCACATTTAGAGCTGCCCGGTTGTTCCATCAGCCTTTCCCATCGTTGCAGCTCCCTGTTTGGCACTTTCCTATCTCCTTACCTCAGCCTGTGCATATGCAGGCCCTCTTGTTTTACAGTCCCTGAGTAAACATCCATGTTATTTGCTCCAAAAAGCTATCAGGAATGCATCAGTCTTCTGTTTGTCTACTTTAATTGTAATCAGATTCAGTTTTGCTGCAAAGTTTATTAACTCATTGTTTGATGTTCCAAACTTTTCTGTTTTTGTTCTCATTTGTCTTTCTTGTTTTTGTTTAAGCTCACAGCATCTTGTTCTTTTCCTTAATCACACATAATCTAAGCAGAAGCATGCAGTGTGACAGGTATAAATGCACCTGTGAATCAGGGCCACCACCAGTCTGTGGTCAAGATGATAAATCAAAGCAAAGTTTGGTGTCAGATCTCTGTGTAGTTTAATGGCTTTGTCATTTATGTGTTACTTTGGGTCTACAAATAAAATCTTTAATTGACTTTTTTTGTTTGTCTCAACGTCTGCAACGGGAGATTAATGCAATCTTTTTGTTTACGCCGCAGCAACAGCTGGAGGAGGAAGCTGCTAAGCCCCATGAACCCGAGAGGCCCATCTCGCCGCCACCCAGCGAGGCCAAACACCGCAGCCTGGTGCAGATCATCTACGATGAGAACAGAGTAAGTGGAAGATAAACATTCAAACAGGCGTGCTTAATCTGCCGTCTGCCCCTTTGACCCATATTCCTTGGTATTTCACTGTGGTTGCACTTGATCACCTTCAGAGAGACAGGGGGGGCTTTGTCAAAGTTTTTCTGAGCTGCCATGTGACACTTTGAGTGGTAGATACTGTGACTTGGAACATGCTGCGACCCGGAAAAGTAGAAGTCTGTCATTTTGTTTTCTTCTGTGTCATAAAACTAAAAGAGAAAAAAAAGAACAAGAAAGTTGTCAAAATTTATTCATGTCATACCTGACCTCCTTTAGTTGTTGTTGTTGTTGTGCAATGCAGGAATCTCTCCTAAAAGGGTATGCTACTAAAGGTCAACATCACATAACAGAAACTGACTCGCTTTTACACAACCCCTGATCTTTTCTCTCAAATGTTTCAAATGAATCAACCTTTTTATGGAAGGACACACGAAGCAGAGCCTCTTCAGGCTGCTTGGAAATGTTTGCCACAGCAGTTAAGGTGCAGAAGATAAACTATTAGGGAGCCTTGCAGTGATTCTCGGTGCTCTCAGCTCCCCCTAGTGGTTAGAAACAAATCTTATTTGGTTCAAAACTGAAATGTCCTTATTTAAACTCCACAAAGCCTCTCATTGGAAGCAAGGGATGATTTTAAATGTTCTGTCTGTATTTTAAGATGGGTACATTTGCACATTTAGGGTGAAGTGCAGTATGTAGAAAATGCCTCCAAAATGGACGATTATAGTGCAGCTCAAAGACTGTGGGTAAGTTTCACAGAACTAGAGGCCAATAAAACATATTTTGCTTCGCTGTAAGTCGCACAGAAACTGCAAGGTAACCGCTACTATGGCGTCTGAAAGCCTTTGAAAAGGAAGAGCACAGGACTTCGAGGTTATCTGTGGTCAGCAAAAACATAGCCTTTCTGTGGAAGAGTAGGACGAGGCAGAAGTTGGAGGGTGAGTCAAGCGTGCAGCCTAACCTCTGTAACATTTCCCTCTGACTTACATGATGCACCCTGGCCCATTGCCATGCGGCCTCGTCGCAGCGGTCTCACCAGGCTTAAGCTGCTTCTATTCTAGGCTAAGGCTCCTTCTTACTCACTGATTCTGCACTTCGGTTATTTCAAACAGAACCTGCAGCGCCGTTTCATCCATCACCCTCATTTTGAGCTTTCTTCATAGGAAGCATCTCATGCAATAAAATCCAAATAGGTTTGAACATTTGTTAACACACGTGGCTGTAATTACCTCAGCTTCAGCTCTCCTCCCTACACTGTCATCTGTGCCTTGTGGGTTCAGAGTCACAGGATCTTTCTGACACGCTTCAGGCCACATTTTTACTGACAGACCATCATCAGACCCCAGAGAATGCTCAGCTCATGTTCACGCTCCTTTATTTTTGGATTGTTGCCATAACAGCCATGAAGTCATGAAGAGACAAAACTCCCTATCCCTTTTCCAAGCTGTGTTTTTTTTTCTTTATTGTCATGTCTTGCCGATGTGAAAACTACGGAAGAGGATTAGGGGAAAAAAACAAAAAAGTTAACTGATTTTTACATTTTATTTCAGTTTAGTATCTGACTTTAATCTCAGAATGCTGACTTTAATCTCAGAATTCTGACTTTAATTTCAGAATTCTGACTTTAATCTCAGAATTCTGACTTTAATCTCAGAATTCTGACTTTAATTTCAGAATTCTGACTTTAATCTCAGAATGCTGACTTTAATCTCAGAATTCTGACTTTAATTTCAGAATTCTGACTTTAATCTCAGAATTCTGACTTTAATCTCAGAATACTGACTTTAATCTCAGAATGCTGACTTTAATCTCAGAATTCTGACTTTAATTTCAGAATTCTGACTTTAATCTCAGAATTCTGACTTTAATTTCAGAATTCTGACTTTAATCTCAGAATTCTGACTTTAATCTCAGAATTCTGACTTTAATCTCAGAATTCTGACTTTAATTTCAGAATTCTGACTTTAATCTCAGAATTCTGACTTTAATCTCAGAATTCTGACTTTAATTTCAGAATTCTGACTTTAATCTCAGAATGCTGACTTTAATCTCAGAATGCTGACTTTAATCTCAGAATTCTGACTTTAATCTCAGAATGCTGACTTTAATCTCAGAATGCTGACTTTAATCTCAGAATTCTGACTTTAATTTCAGAATTCTGACTTTAATTTCAGAATTCTGACTTTAATTTCAGAATTCTGACTTTAATCTCAGAATTCTGACTTTAATCTCAGAATGCTGACTTTAATTTCAGAATTCTGACTTTAATCTCAGAATGCTGACTTTAATCTCAGAATGCTGACTTTAATCTCAGAATGCTGACTTTAATCTCAGAATGCTGACTTTAATCTCAGAATGCTGACTTTAATCTCAGAATGCTGACTTTAATCTCAGAATGCTGACTTTAATCTCAGAATGCTGACTTTAATCTCAGAATGCTGACTTTAATCTCAGAATTCTGACTTTAATTTCAGAATTCTGACTTTAATTTCAGAATTCTGACTTTAATTTCAGAATTCTGACTTTAATTTCAGAATGCTGACTTTAATCTCAGAATGCTGACTTTAATCTCAGAAAGCTGACTTTAATCTCAGAATGCTGACTTTAATCTCAGAATGCTGACTTTAATCTCAGAATGCTGACTTTAATCTCAGAATTCTGACTTTAATCTCAGAATTCTGACTTTAATCTCAGAATTCTGACTTTAATCTCAGAATTCTGACTTTAATCTCAGAATTCTGACTTTAATCTCAGAATTCTGACTTTAATTTCAGAATGCTGACTTTAATTTCAGAATGCTGACTTTAATCTCAGAATGCTTACTTTAATTTCAGAATTCTGACTTTAATCTCAGAATGCTGACTTTAATCTCAGAATGCTGACTTTAATCTCCGAATGCTGACTTTAATCTCCGAATGCTGACTTTAATCTCCGAATGCTGACTTTAATCTCCGAATGCTGACTTTAATCTCAGAATGCTGACTTTAATCTCCGAATGCTGACTTTAATCTCCGAATTCTGACTTTAATTTCAGAATTCTGACTTTAATTTCAGAATTCTGACTTTAATCTCAGAATTCTGACTTTAATTTCAGAATGCTGACTTTAATCTCAGAATGCTGACTTTAATCTCAGAATGCTGACTTTAATCTCAGAATGCTGACTTTAATCTCAGAATGCTGACTTTAATTTCAGAATTCTGACTTTAATCTCAGAATGCTGACTTTAATCTCAGAATGCTGACTTTAATCTCAGAATTCTGACTTTAATCTCAGAATGCTGACTTTAATCTCAGAATGCTGACTTTAATCTCAGAATGCTGACTTTAATCTCAGAATGCTGACTTTAATCTCAGAATGCTGACTTTAATCTCAGAATGCTGACTTTAATTTCAGAATTCTGACTTTAATTTCAGAATTCTGACTTTAATTTCAGAATTCTGACTTTAATCTCAGAATGCTGACTTTAATCTCAGAATGCTGACTTTAATCTCAGAAAGCTGACTTTAATCTCAGAATGCTGACTTTAATCTCAGAATGCTGACTTTAATCTCAGAATGCTGACTTTAATCTCAGAATGCTGACTTTAATCTCAGAATTCTGACTTTAATCTCAGAATTCTGACTTTAATCTCAGAATTCTGACTTTAATCTCAGAATTCTGACTTTAATTTCAGAATGCTGACTTTAATTTCAGAATGCTGACTTTAATCTCAGAATGCTTACTTTAATTTCAGAATTCTGACTTTAATCTCAGAATGCTGACTTTAATCTCAGAATGCTGACTTTAATCTCAGAATGCTGACTTTAATCTCCGAATGCTGACTTTAATCTCCGAATGCTGACTTTAATCTCCGAATGCTGACTTTAATCTCCGAATGCTGACTTTAATTTCAGAATTCTGACTTTAATTTCAGAATTCTGACTTTAATTTCAGAATTCTGACTTTAATTTCAGAATTCTGACTTTAATCTCAGAATTCTGACTTTAATTTCAGAATTCTGACTTTAATTTCAGAATGCTGACTTTAATCTCAGAATGCTGACTTTAATTTCAGAATTCTGACTTTAATTTCAGAATTCTGACTTTAATTTCAGAATTCTGACTTTAATTTCAGAATTCTGACTTTAATTTCAGAATGCTGACTTTAATCTCAGAATGCTGACTTTAATCTCAGAATGCTGACTTTAATCTCAGAATGCTGACTTTAATCTCAGAATGCTGACTTTAATTTCAGAATGCTGACTTTAATCTCAGAATGCTGACTTTAATCTCAGAATGCTGACTTTAATCTCAGAATGCTGACTTTAATCTCAGAATGCTGACTTTAATCTCAGAATGCTGACTTTAATCTCAGAAAGCTGACTTTAATCTCAGAATGCTGACTTTAATCTCAGAATGCTGACTTTAATCTCAGAATGCTGACTTTAATCTCAGAATGCTGACTTTAATCTCAGAATTCTGACTTTAATCTCAGAATTCTGACTTTAATCTCAGAATTCTGACTTTAATCTCAGAATTCTGACTTTAATCTCAGAATTCTGACTTTAATCTCAGAATTCTGACTTTAATCTCAGAATTCTGACTTTAATTTCAGAATGCTGACTTTAATTTCAGAATGCTGACTTTAATCTCAGAATGCTTACTTTAATTTCAGAATTCTGACTTTAATCTCAGAATGCTGACTTTAATCTCAGAATGCTGACTTTAATCTCCGAATGCTGACTTTAATCTCCGAATGCTGACTTTAATCTCCGAATGCTGACTTTAATCTCAGAATGCTGACTTTAATCTCAGAATGCTGACTTTAATCTCCGAATGCTGACTTTAATTTCAGAATTCTGACTTTAATTTCAGAATTCTGACTTTAATTTCAGAATTCTGACTTTAATCTCAGAATTCTGACTTTAATTTCAGAATGCTGACTTTAATCTCAGAATGCTGACTTTAATCTCAGAATGCTGACTTTAATCTCA